GCAAAAATTCAGCTTATGAAAATCACTTTTGAGAATGACTAAACATGAATGACGTTATTACACAGAAGTTACTACTGAAATTCTAAGTCTACCAGAGGAAAACATGTTTGAACAAAATGGGCAAACAAGAAAACAAATGTTTCTTCACTTTACCTATAATTTATTGATGTAATCCTGACAGCTAATTTTCAAACCTTACAGAAGCACAACAACATATTAACTGACTCCTAAAACTCCTGTCTTGAAGTCACTGATGTTGTCCAGAACACATCTCCATAGTCAAAAGTGTTAGTTTTGCAAAATGGCAAAGAATCTTTTAATGGCAAAGCCACTACTTATATTCTAGTCTAAAAGTACTCGTGTGTTTTGAAATTCTAGGCCACGTAAACTACAATTTTCTAGGCCTCTTTCTGTCTATATTCAAGAGTATAATTTCTTTGGATTTTAAGTGAGTTTGGTGTAAAACTAGGTATAATTAAACTGTCATACTGTATTAATATTTTAATCAAAATGCACAGAAGAAACAGAAGCTAAGCATTTTTCTCAGCAATTAGAACAATAGAATTGTAGACAATAATGGAAAGCGTCGTATAAATAAATGTCATGTCTCTTACCATGAAGAATAAATAAAGAGAAGAGATACAAAATAGACAGAGAGTACTAAGCAGTTGCTTCCATCATATTAATGGAACCTTATTCTGTTCTTTCCTCCTTAAATCTTCCCAACGTTTTTTCATGTAACCAAGCACTGCTGAATCTGGAAAGGTGGAAAAGGAAGTTGACCATGAGAGGATCTCCAGATTAGAGCTTCTCTCTACTTCACATGTTTACTTTCTACATATGTTAAGTTCCATTTTCACTGTATTTCATGGATTTCAATATTAGATACAACCAATTTGTGCATAACTGTCAACCCTACAAACTGAACCTACTTCTTCAGCATTCAGCTGAGCTGTTTTCATTATTGTTTGACAATACCAATGCACTATGTATTACACAAATATCAAACAGAAAGATGACTCTTAATTTTAACAATTTATAAACAGGAGACAATAAATGGCCACATCTAAATGCCAGAGTATAGAAAAATATGACAGTACTTTTCAGTACCATAGACTGGTCACAGTACCATTTCACTGGTCTCAGTGAAACCAGATGCTAAACTTCTGTGAAATTTTTGCAAACCAGCACCGAAGAATTCTGAGTAGGACACTAGAGAAAAATCATTTTCTGGAG